CCCAGTATGGTACATCTCCCGTTATCATGAGCAGTTAAGAAACACATGCCACATACATGAGACGTGGCAAACAAACAGTTATAATGAGGAGCGCGGAAGCCGTTTTTCAACAATACAACTTTAATTAAAATGACTTAAATCAGGAAAAGAAAGGAGCACTCACATAGGTCGGTCGGTAATCCCAATACCCAGTTGAATCAAATCAAGTGCAAAATTGGCAAATTGACAAGCAATTTCAGCATTAAAAGCGGTGACCACATCCCAACGCTGAATGTTACTGCGAGAGAACACGGGTTTGGCAAGGAGTCCCACACACTCCAGATGCGCCACGTCGGCAATCGCAGGGTTCTAATCCCAAAGGCAGGCAGACAAATTCTCACTGCAGGTGTATGTGTTGAAGCAGTTCAAAACCACTCGGAAAAGTGATGGCAAGGCACTTGTGCTTTGTAAGTTCAATCACTTTTTGGGGATATGAACATGTTGGCAGACATCTTAATCCTAGAACAAAAAGAAAGAAACACCAGTCTTCAAATTCAGAAGGGTATCGTACAACACAAGAAAATACACAAAAGAGACTAGGTCGCATCTCACCTAGGCCCTTAAATACTTTTTAATTAGGCACCGCAAAATATTCAATTCCGTTTCTTTCGACACTGTCATCAGGAACGTGCGCAGACATATGAACAATCCATTCCTATCATTTAGGGCCACACAAGAAAGGAAAGTGGTCCTAAAAGAACTTAGTCATACGCACTAGGTAGCAATATCATTGACGTAACATTGAAGGAACCCATTGCCACACGAAGAGATGAGTCAGTGGGCCAGCTAGCCTTACACACAAGCGATAACCTTGGAGGGCAATTTTGGTCCTGTTTATAAAAATGAGAGGGTGAAGAAATGAAGTCATGGCAAAACGGTTATGTTTGAATATTAGCACACACAAAAGCCCTGGGATGTAATCCAAGACTTAAAACTAACTCGACTCGCAGCCGCACTCATATTTTTTCAACATTGCGAAAAAAATGTAGAATACCGGTTGTGGTTTTGTGCATATAAATACAAAAGCAATCTTAAAGTCATTATATCATTTTTATGCTTACACCCACATATGTAGAGATGCTTATGCGTATTTATTGGAGAGTGAATATCATACAGCTTGCTTTTTTTAGTGTGCAACACAAAACTATGGTTCTATTAAAAGCAATTATTGCGTTTAGTTTTAGTGGCACAAAACTGTTATACTAAACATCCAAACTTGTTATTTTAGATTTTATTGGCTGCCTTATTGTTTTGTCTCTTTGATGTAGCGGGTACTTCGATAGATTTATTGACGTGGGAATTTTGGTAGGGGAGGCTGTGTCTGTTACGGGGTAGGGCCTATTGAATACTGGACTCTGCTTGGTGCCAATGACGTTGCGGACCTTCATTTAGGCAAGAATGTGCCTGTTCGTAGTAAAGTATTATTTGACAAACATGGAGGTGTTGTCCATGAACACTAATTGAGGATTTCGCTTTGCCGTTTCTTCGCGCATTGCTCAGGTAAGAATGAATTGTGGTTCATGCGTTGCTGTCGGATACACCCTTCCAAGCAAACAGTTTTAGGTGTCCTTGTAGCCACTCCTTTGCATATGGATTCACCTCGGGCAATAAAGACGTCGTAGCTTAACCCACGATGAAGTGGTCGCTGAGTTCCTACTTTACATGTTCCACTATGAAAGTACTAACACGAAACCGTGGACTGAACTTTCAGTCAGTGGTGTAGAAGTCCATGAATAGTGAGAGTGTTTCGTGTTTCAAGGGCAGGTGGTAGTCCACCGGCACAGATATTATGCCAAACTGGATAATGCGACTTTGACTGTACGTTAATTACGCAAAGGCTTGAGGATAATAGGCAAGAGCAAATCGTTACCTACGATGTGTATATCGAACCAATTAATGCACGAAGATCGTGACAGCAGCTCATGAATTCCAACTCATTCTCAACTAGGTAATGTGCAAAGTAATGGCGAAGGCGTGATTTGTACTTAGTGTTTTTCGGTAATGCCTTTATGCTTATCAGATAATGCTTCATCAGAAATAGACCCATTCTTGCCGAATTTATGGTCCAGATAGTCACAGGCGGATGTCGGTTGACTTGATGCAAACCTACGAGCTTACCAATGGGGTCTGTCTCCGCAAACAGCGACGAAGCGAACCTTATGAGATGTGACTACAAGAAAGGTGACGAAGCTGCTCTTGCTGTTACCATTACTAACACCAATGTTACCATTGACCACTGCTGTCTCCTCACTGGTTTGGCCCCAATTCAAGTGTTAACGCCACCTGTAATTGGTCCTCCTGTTGCAAAATGCACCACGGTTGTGCTACCAGTGCAGCTGCAGTGGTTTGGAACGCCAACGCCGCGCTGAATGCCCTTCGTTTTACTCAAGTCCTATCTATGACCCCCAAATAGTCTAATAGTCCTCTAAGGAAATTGTTCATCCCTTGCACTCGCATCCTTCGAACTATTCACTCATTCACTGTGCTTACCTGCAGCAAACAATTCGGAATATTTCTCCGCAAATTTCCACCACTCGGTTTGAAGCAATGATGACAACCTGGCCAAGTCAATCTTCGAAATTGTCTTTTTAATTATCTTTGCTCTTTCCACCACATCACACCCCACATCCATCCATTTGGAAATCGCTTGAAATTGTTTTTTCTCACTCATGTCTTCTTGACGTTTCTTCTCCAGCAGGACTTCAAAATACTCTGCTGTTATCTGCATCAGCGTTTCACTTCGCAAACACAGAATTGCAAAATGTTTTTTCATTAGTGGAATGCACAACGACATCAATTCACGATTCAGCGTTGTCACATTGTCTACTGACCACGCTTCTGCCACGTTGTCTAGGGAAGTTCTTCAGACAGTCAGTTGTAGCTCTTAGAAAGGCCTCTTCTACCTCCTTCTTAGGAAATCCACACACCATTCGGCGATGGTGGCGGATCCAAGGTTGTGTGCCAGCAGGTAGATTGGCGTTACATTTTCTGCCGAAATTGCGATGCTGCCCGTGTACGCGTAGTTGATGGCAGCCTCGACAATACTGAATGGAAGCTAACAATGGCGAAAATCGCCTTCACTGGACTGCGATTTCACCGCATTGAGAGGCTAATTGTTTCATCAAAATTGGGAACGTGGCTGCTACTACCAGTCGGTGTGCCTCCACGTAATTTCCATCCCTTGTCTAAAAGTCGAAGCGTAAATTCCATCTTTATCAACTTACTGTGATCCACAGATCAATCAGTTTGCCTCGTTCCCGTAAGAGGCATACTTTTTGGCTCAGAGATGAGCCTGCGGTCTCATTGGAATAGCTCACCGTCGCCATAACTTGCTGAAGAATTGTAGTGTAAAGTAAGGAGACGGCGAAATGCCTTTTGTGTCTAACACAAGACTCGTGGAATTGGATGAACGCCCACGAAGGTGTTGTGCGTTGCGTTGAGGCCATTGAGGAGCAGCCTTGAAGAAAGTGATGGGAAGGGTGTGGCGCGCGGAAGATGGGTGCACCTCTGCAAACCGATTAGCGGAAATTAGTTTTGTACTTTGCCTGAAGTTAAATACAATACTTTGATTATTGTTTTAACTGTTCGTCTTGGTTATGCGGGCATTGAGAGCTTTGCTTTTGCAATTCTGCTCCCCAACGTGGACTTTGAGTAATGTCAGTTTTCCCCATCCCTTCTGTGACTGGCTAATAGCCATTCTGCAAAGACTTAGCCACTCCTCATTAGAAGCAACATCGAAATTGGATGCTTCGTGATAAGCATTTAGGTGATGAAGGAGGAGCATCAGCTGCGGATGCAAGAATTTGTGAAGGCTCACATTTATATGACTGCTTGAATGGAAATGGCTGGAAGAACTTTGCCTTACATCGCCTTTTCCAATCTTGTTATTAGAAGTCGTGATGCCCTCAGGTAAGCCAGTGCATGTGATCACGATGTGTATCTTCACATCGAAAAGCATTTCCCACTAACTCATTTTCCTAGTTGCATTTGCTGTGTCTTGCTTTAGTAGCACATTATTGAGTTACCCACTACATGACAGTTGGTGATGCTGGGTGCTACACAGTTCAAACTTAAGCAGCTTTAATTTGTTGCGTGGTGCTCTCATTTGATTGTTTTTTATTTACGTAGAGGAGGAAGATACCACTGTGTTGACTGACGGGACTGGTCTAACTTCCTCACCTTCTGGTATTCAGCGTTGTGCTCTCACTACAATGGCTTACAGGTAGGCGAGGAAGGAAGCACCGTCTCGGCTGGCGAATCTGCCCTGACTCCGCAGCATTTGAAATGTGTCTTCCTATGCGCGGCTGAAATTCATACTAGAACATTTGCGTGAGTTAGTGCAAATTACCGGCCTTTTTTCATGCGGAATATCACAGCTAGTAATCTGCGCTTTCCCGGCAAATCTGTTTCCACTTCAGGGCCCCATAATGCAGGAAATGCATCAGACGTTATTCATTTGTGTTTAAACCCCGACAACAGCGTTACTACTCCCAACAACAATGTGACCCCTAATAGTGAAAAAGCGTTGACAACAAATACAGAAATTGTGCAACGTTATTCTTTGCAAACATTTGGCTGTTTTTCGATCAGCGGTTGAACTCGAGTGCCATTATTTTGAAATCAGGTGGCACAATCTCTAGTATATTCAAATATCTGATTCTAGAAGATAAATCATGTCACAGAAAGAGATGCTACGCAAACCTTTTAGTCTTGACTACTGCTGTCTTTGTTTCTTTACGTCAACGATTTGTTCCAAAAGTCTCGTAGTTAAGCTGTCAACAATTGGAGTGCATTTTTGATTGCATATACGTCTCTCTGTTTGTCTGTGATGAGGCTTCTCTTTAAAACAGGCACAAATAGATAATGGAAACAACGCCTACACGAGTTGTAGGCTACAATGCAGAGAGCGTGTTGGGTTCATCACTCGACCTCCTTTCCAGCATGTGATGGTACTGTTTGCCTGCACCAAATTGTTGAAGCACAGCAGTGCACTTGACGATGATAATGTGGACTGCATGCAGTCTACATTGAGTAGGCAATTATCAGCCCACTTCTCATGGCTGTCAGTGTGCCTCCCGGTGGAAAGATGAATGTGGGCATTTGCGAATACAAAGTTGAGTGGATTGCGCTAAAGCGGTGGAGTAGTGAAGTGCGGACTGCTCGTGGACACCAGTAGAACTTGCTCGCTCAAACTGACATGCCTTGGGTGTGAAAACCATGCCTTAGATCAAGTCCACCTTAATCACGTTCAACTTATTCCGCACCACCAACTTGAGTCGGCTAGTTCCTTCGGCCCATTAACACAACTGTTTTTTCCTTTGTTACTACTGTCCCCAAACCCAATCTGACTGAATGTGGTTCGGCCAACTGTTTGATCACCTGCATGGAAATGTAACAAGCATGAGTGACAATTTTACTAGGGAGGGTAAGATGTAGAAAATTTATTCTTCCTATTTCATAACGATGGGAAGAAGTTGGGGCGGGCTTGCAAAACCACCTTAAATCATTCCCTATTTGTTACAATGCAGTGAGCAAGAAGGTGAGAGGTTCCATTTGAACTTCACCCAATCCCCCGCATTACGCTAGGGGGCATCACTTCTAAATCACTAATCTAATGAAAAGGTGCAAATGAGCATTGTGTGATTTGTAGCTTTAATGCCCCCTCAAACACAGCGAACACACCATGCGAAGTAATCTGTCAAACGTGGGTGCATTGTTGAGCAGGCTGTGACAAGAATGCACATTTGGCTGTTGTTAAAGGTAAGGAACTGCAAAGCGATTCCTCGCCGGTCGATGGGATGGATTGGCGATGCGGTCGAAGTAGACGAACACATGATAAGAAAGCTCACTTGTGTGAGGCGGGTAAAATGTGTAGAATTGGAAGTGAAATGTGCAAGATCTTCTCCAATGCTGCAGTGCAAAGAAGCGCCACGTAAGAGCCGTCATAGTTTACCTAGTGAAGTGGTCTGCGATGGATCCTTTCATCGTCTCTCAGTCGCTTCTGCTAGTGTCCGGGACTTGTCAAGTCCTACTCGCACTAGCCTGCTTGCATTGTTATAGCATCAATGTTTTGAGGAGGAGTCTTCACTCCGCAAACTTTGCTCGTGCACCATCTTGCATAAGAATGCATAATTCAACATTTTCTTTGTCAGTGCAGTGGTATGCACATCGCCTGGAAGAGATTACCCAGAAACAGCACAGTGGATAGGAGAGAACAACAAATCCTTTATGTGGCGTTTATTTAATCAAATTACCAAGATTGTTGTAACTCTCTCTTGCATTTGTGTGAGAACAACGACCTCTCTCCACTACTACTGCACTGCATCACGCAAAGGGTCAGCGTGGTAGCGCGCTCATCTATAGAGCACGAGCTGGAGAACGAGTAAGGCATGACGGTGCAATTCACTTCATTCTGTACACGTACAAGCACGTACATGAACTTCAACACTCGCACATCACTAGTGGCGCCGGTGTTGAGCACCAAAACAATTACTATTCTTCCACCATTTGAAGCTTGCCTGAGATACGGAAACACATGGTAGCAGCATGGTGAGGGTGGATGGCTGCGTCAGCTTGCAGCACAAATGTGTAGTCTCAAAACAGATGGATGAGTAAAGGAAGCGCTAGTAGTGACTGTGTGAGAGTAAAAAGCGAGTAGCCAAATATGGGAATCAGGTCTACTGTTTACCTCACAAGAGGTAGATATTGTATTGAAGGGGGTAACAATACTGTCAATTATTGTTATCGCCTACATTGGTTAGTCTTGCAACCGATGTCAGTCAATTAAATGTTTCCAATCGTAAATTGGTCCTATAGGCGAGCAATAGGAGGGTGAGCTGCTCTGCAGATGTGATTCTCCTCACCGAAACACTTCTCCAACTTGATGCGTTTGCCACGAAATGGAGGTTGGCGACAGCGCAAATGCGCAACGCGTTTGTAAGGAGCAACTTTGGGAAAGAGGAAGCACGATTGAGTGGGGGCACTGAGAGGCATACCCTGTGCACTCACGGGGCACATCTTGCCTCATTACCAAAGGCAGATAAGTGGCGTCTCTAGGAATGAGGAGTAGAATGTGGGTTCGTTGTTGGTGAGAGGTGAAATCTGACAGGCCATCAATATGACTTCATTACCATGTCAAATGCTTGCCCTCGTTCACGTTGTGATTTCCCGCCTTTTTTTTTCGGCGTCGTGCGGGAATTTTAGACAGTGCATGACAGGAGCATCTGTATCTCGCCCGCCCAGAGCATGTTATGACCTCTCATCATGGAAATCTTTTATTAATCAAATGCCAGGATTGGTCACTTTTACATCTCTTTTATCATTTTCGCTCCAATTTTACTGCCACGAGATGGTTAGCTCCTATAGGGTAAAACGTGCCACCGTTCTGAAATTCCAACGGTTCAACCAATTAGTTGTTCCTAATGCATACAAGATTTGTTCTGCCAAAACAATGGAATGATTAAATTTCCGCGCACTGTAGCCAAAGAATATAAAATGTGGAGTATTTTGACGCAAGCAGAATGAGTGGATGGAGGACTTTTAGACAGAATTGTCATGTCGCTGTCTAACATTGCTCGGAGAAGAGCAAATTGGCGCAAGCGCTTAAAAAGTTTTGATGCCTGTCACACGACACTCGAGAGACAAGATAGAATCACATATCCTCTGACAATGAAATCCGCTTAGTCAGCGTGCAGAGTAATTTGGGATTAACTATGGGTCACCGACTAGATTAGAATTATGAAAATAAATATTCATCGAGTTAACTGCAATGCTTAGGAAATTCGCTTGCTTTGCCCAAGTAGTGTCAAAAAATAAAAGGATTGTGGGCATAGAATAGGAAATAACGTTCTCCTTTACAAATGCTTAGTTGTTTTCCGATTAGAAGTTAAAATCGAGTGCCATTTATTTGAAATCAACAGACGTACCCTCTAATATATTCCAACATGGAAAACAGGGAATAAGCTAATGTGGTGCAGATATTTTATTTTTGACAGATTCATACAAAGGCTGGAATAAAAAATGATTAGTTATCGTTTTGTTTCTTTTCGTCTACGATTTGGTCTTAAGGCCGCTGAGGTGGATTGCTGAACCTATCATGGTCGGCGGTTACTTTGCTCTCGCTGTAAGGCTGAGTTGACTGAGTAGGTGCCCATAAATCTAATGAAATTAGAAGGGACACCCAACTCTTGTTGCGGCATACGCCGGTGATTGATCAACTATTCTGGTTTTACTATTATAACACTTGCCGTTCCCTAATCATGAAGCATTGTTTAAATTTCCTCCTTTTTTGTTATCCATGTACGATGTGAGGATTGTTATCTTAGTGGTCTCTTAATTTTCATAACGTAGACCTGTTAATGGCTAATTTTTTGCTTTGCTACAGTCAGTCCTCAGGCGATGGATTTTCCAAAACTCCAACTCGGATGGCTTACTACTGCACAACCAGATTGTCCTCTACTGGAATGTGATGGGCATCTACAGCGTTACAGCAGCTGGGAAAACTCACTGGGCATTCAGTAGGGTTGTGTGTACCGGTGTTTCAGTCAGGCCTGCAGGTCGCCTCCTCAGGCATTCTTGAATGTATGGGGCGGTAGGATTATGGATAATTGTACAAATCTGCATAATTTGCTTTAATGTGCCGTATCTTGCTTCTTGTCTTTTTCTACGCACCAGTTTGCTGCTTTTTGCTGTAGGACTGGGCTTCATTTGTGGATTCTTAGATATGCTAGTTTTAAAGTGAAAGGACTGTCGAAATGTTTATCGCCTCTGTTGCTCTTTTATCGTGCGAATAATTGTATTTGAATGGTTAAAAGGAGTTTGGTTTGGCCTCAGCTAAGTAAGAATTTGTGGCAATGTTGGTAGATTTCGCTACTATTAAAATCGCTGGGTCCGAAACAATAGCATTAAATTTGTAGATAATGTTAGTTTATACCTATCTTTATGTTTTTAGCAGTGAGGCCAGAAGAAGCGAAGGGGTTGTTTTAGATGTGGACGAAATATATTTAATAGACCTAGCGACAATAGGTAATCCTATAGTCAGCTGAAACATGTTGTTTACTTACTTGTCTTTTTTGGTTAAGTCGCGGAACAGCAGAACGTTTTTACAGTGAAATCTCTAGTCTCCTGACAGCTCTCTTGTCACTGTGGTTTACAAAACAAGTCACTTATCTGCCCCTCTGGGGAAGGTATTCTTCATGCCACCAATGCAGTTGCCCTTAAAGGGGTGAAGCAAATACTTTCTATGCCGAGTAGTTTAACATAAACGAGTTGAAAATGAACTTTGCCTGTGAACAGGCATATTTCTCGCACCTAAAAATGTATCGGATGTTTTTTTTGCAAGCAGTGCTAAACTGTCCATTTGAATCCACACTTCGTAATTTTTAAGTGAAATATTTGCTATTTGCAAAAGCGCTCCAAGCCCCAAGAGAGACTGCAAATCCCCTTCCAAAAGTAGACTGCCTACCCCCAACCCTCCCTTTTGATGCCTCTTGAAGTTACAAATCAAATGCCTGGCTTAATGATTTAGGTCTGCTTCTGGTTGTTGCACGTGCGCGCTCGCATTGAATGTCTGTGCAGACACCGTCCGAGTTGAGACCACTTGGAGGTGCGACTGAGCCAATGGATTGATCGTTGGGAGGCGGAGAGTTGTCATAAGGAAGTTGAGGAGGTGTACAAACGTGGCGACTCCTTTTACCTTCGTGCACATAAAGTGAGTTCACTGAAGCAGTGTTCGTTTTATATTTGGTTTGTTGACAGGAGCACTTATATGCGACGCTCTGAGCTACATGTGTGAGCGTGCGTTTCATTAATGTGATAGCTGACAAGTGATTGTAGCAAAAGGATTGGTTGATATTGTTAACGTTTGGAAGAGCATAAAAAATGTGAGGGGCTGTGGTGTCTGTCTGTCCTCTAAGGGAGGGTCTTGTCACTGAGGTAACATCTTTGTGGTAAAGCAGAGGAGGTGGAAGTGTGGAAGGAGAACTGGCATGCAATCGAAATGGATCATTACGTGGTAGAATGAATACCCATTTTCGTGTTATTTTGAGTATTGTGTGGGCAGCTTGCAGCGGTTGTTACACCCACACTTCTGCAAACACCAATGGCAGTGGTGCGATGAGGAGCAAAAAAGAAAGGAAGGCAATGGCGTGTTGATAGTGTCCGAGGTGATGTTAGAGAGTGGCATCTGAAATGGATTTTGGTGGGAATAGCACTCCCTCATAATCCCTTCTTTAAGGTAGTCGCATTGGAGAAGTCTATTCTTCTGATAAAGGGTGGCTGGAGGGTGGAAATGTTCAACGGTGAGCGTGATTTGTGTGCGAATTGCTGTTTGCAGGGCTGCTTAGCCGAAAGTAAAGTTGTGAGTCCTATTGCACTGATGTGAAAACAGTAAATAAGGCTTGAATTCACCTTTTGGTTGAAATCCGAAACGATTTACGTCGTCGAAGGGTAATGATTCCTTGCAATGCTTGAAAAATTGCGGATTGTGAGTTGTTTCTTCCCCTCCAACTTTGTCAAATAAGTCGAAGAGTAGGATGGGTTTGTATATCGCCTTGGATGAAGGGCGATGGGATGTTTGAGCACAGAAATGCAGCGTTTTGAATCAGGAAGCCGAAAATCTGACGCTATCATGCTCCTGCCCACAAGGGAGCGTTACGCTTCAGGGTCGTTCGCACCTCCTTATCGTCTCGTGGGCAATATTTTCCCGTCTATTTTCTAGCCAATAGGATAACGAGACCGAGACACCGACAAATGAATTCCTGATTTTGAACCCCAAAATGACGACGATTTCGGTTCTGTGAAAGGGTGTTCCGCCTCCTGTTCTTTTTGATCATGACTATTGGTACGAAACTGAAGTAATGTTTATTTGAAGTGGACATTGCAGTACGTTTTGCGTATCTCCCAAGAAATGGACAATAATGTAGAGTGGGTGTGGCACAAGCACTCGAATTTCAAGGGACTTCACTTCAGCTTATCTTTATTCAAATGAGTAGGAAAGGGTGGATGCTTGGGGCAAAACTTGTCCAGTTCCTGCAACCAAGTTTTTGCTATTTTGCAATACCTGTAAGACAATTAGGAGTGGCATTGTGCATGTGTTTGACACCGATGGAGGTTGTTTTTCACCGCCACACTCTTGCTCCGCCCTACACGCTCGGTCCACTCGGCGACGCTTTGAACTGCTTTACTACCTCACTGTGTAGATGAAGCCATAGTTTAAAATTGGCGGGGCGAAATTGTAGACAAAACAGACCAACCCTCCTTTCTTATCATGTACCCCTTTGTTGGTTCGCTTTTTTGTGATTGTGATACCTATTTTGTGTGTCACGATGAGCTGTTCGAAAATGCCAACCCAAAATACCATGACGTGTTCGTCTCATGTGCTTCCAGGTTTGCTACAACAAAGTCTTCTTTCATCCTCGTATAAAAAGAACTTTTCAAAATGGTTTGGCACAAGATTGGCGTCCTTTAAGGGTTGCAACAGGTGCTTTTTTCAACTGCGTAGTTCTTAATAGAGAAAAGTAATTTTTCCCATTCTTGATGATTCAGTGACCTGCCGGAGTGATTTTTGCAGATAGGCGGGTGGCCAGAGCACATGAGCGTCTTCTCTGAAGGTGGTTGTGAGGTTGGCGAGTCGAGACGCGTTTGAGGAGGAGGTGGTGAGGTGGTACCTGAAACAATGTCGATCAAACTGCATGTCGTCGAGGTGGCGACTGAAGCTGCGGAGGAAGAATGAGCCGAGGAGGCAAATGGAAGGCTCAAATGTGTTCCGCGTGTGTTCAGTCAGAAATGCTGTAACATTGCATTTATAATTTGCTTATTGTCAGAAGAATTCCAATGGTAGAATAGCATGTCAACGAGCGGAGAGAGGTACTGCTGTAGGAATATGTTCCCTGATGGGCAGTTTGTTTGATGATTCAATGAAAGCTGAGGAGGATGGGGTGTAGAAGGTCTGAATTACGAATTGATCCACTACTGCTTTGCTGATTAGGCGGAAAAGTGGAACACACAAAGCACTGGCTTTTGGCAGAACACTTACGTCAAATTTCGAGTTGACACGCCTTAAAGCCTGCATTAATAAAGCACTCGATGAGGAGGCATTGGATTTGTGTGGTGGAGGGACACCTCCCTCAAGGGGTAAACACGTTTCTTCTTGAATGACCAACCAACTTACCCTAGAATAGTCGACTTATTGAATGTTTAAGTCACAAAATTAGTGCACAAGCATTGAAGGAAGTGCTAGAGGTCGCATGACAAGATCAAACGCAACCGACATTTGCCTCTTCCTCTTCTCCCTCCGTCTCAACTGTTTTCAGCCTGCCATGTCGGCTGTAAGCAGATCTGCACTTCTGATCATCATCAACAAAATTATGCACTGCGTACAGTGGTTCTCGTTTAATGTTTCAAATGTTAATGAAGTGAGTTGTGGAGATGTAGTTCCATTATCCGTGAGCCTGTGTTCACCATCAGATTGGATAAATGAATTTGCCCCTTTCAGGACGCCAGTTGTGCGAGTTTGACGGCTTGCAGTGCAATGGAAGCGTCAGTGAAGACGCGTGTCAGCGTCGTAGAGGAGGCCGTCGCAGCGACAGTGGTGACAAGGTGACAGGAGTGTGCATTGGACCCTGCATGCGTTGTGACGGCGTCGTCGACTATTGGCTCGACGAGCGGAGAGTGTGAAGACTGTCTCACCCTTTGAAACCTTCAATGAGTCCTTTCGCATCGCCTTGCGTAAGTGACATTGGAGGGTGTGGGCTAGAGTTCCAGCTCTTAGATTGTTTCGTTGTACCGGCCAGTGAGAGGGAGTTGAATTAATAGTTGTATGGCAGCAAATGAGTGAAGAAATTACTTTCCTGGTTGGTACCATCTTGTTATAAAACACCAAATGCTTGCAAATAATTTGTTTGATGTACTTTTCATGATTTGGAATTAAACCTAATCACGCTTTGCTTTGAAGGACATGGGAATGCGATGGTCTGTAGCAGTTTGATTCTCCCCTGTAATGTTAATAAGTCATGTCAAAACAAAAGACGAGTTGTCATGAGCCATAAAAGGGCTGGGAGGATGTAAACTTAGCCGTGACTAATGAAATGGAGGTGGCTGGAGGATCTTTGCCTAATATCGCCATTTCCAATCTGTTTTATGTCAGAAGTGGCGGTGTCAAAGGAGGAAAAGACAGAATTGTTCCCTCTCCCGCCACCCTTTGAATGGGGCGCCGTGGGTTGGCGGACCTTTGAGGTACGTTGGGGCACGCGAAGATTAGGCGATAGCTACGCAGATCTAATTGTTGTGGACCTTCGTTTAGGAGAGAATGTGCCTGTCCGTAGTGGAGCATTATCTGACAAACGTGGAGGTATTGTCCATCAACACTAATTAAGAATTTCGCCCTGCCATTTCCTCGCTCATTGCTCAGGTAAGACTGAATTGTGGTTCATGAGTTGCTGCCGGATGCACCCTTCCAAGCAAACAGTTTTAGGTGTCCTTGTAGCCATTCGTTTGCATATGGGTCTACCTCAAGTAGCAAATGACATCGAAGCTGAATCTACGATGAGGTGGTTGCTGAGTTCCGACTTTATGTGTGTGACTATGAAAGTACAAACACAAAACCGAGGACTGAACTTTCAGTCAGTGGTGTAGAAGTCCATGAATAGTTAGAGTGCTTCGTGTTCCAAGGGCAGGTGGTAGTCCACCGGCAGAGGTATTATGCCAACCTGGATAACGCAACTTTGACCATGCATTAATTGCGCAAAGACTTGAGGTTAAGGGTTAAAAGGAAATTGTTGCCTACGATGTGTACATTGAACCGATTGCAGCACAAAGGGCGT